TCTGATGCAATAGCTTCATACATGCCAGTCGTCTTGAACAAACCTGACAGCTGCTATTTTAATGTGACAGTCAGAAAAATGCACCATCGCTGTCTTTGCTACTGTAATGTAAGAAATCGAAGTACCTGAAGCCAGTGCTTTGTAAGGAGAAGGAGAGGAAATGGAGAAATGTTATTAATCGTGAATCTTTCGTTCGTGGAAGAAAAAAAAGATCTAATATCAAGATAAAAAAGTGAGATGAGTGCCTATCAGAAATGTGAAGCACATATCGCGCTACATTTAAAGTGGCATCAAATATCACCACAGATAATGACGTGACGAAAAGGCAGTGCTAATCAAAGATGCTATGCCTAACGGTCAGACATTATCGATCTTGGCTAAGTTGCTTTTCAAGATTTACTAGTCTTACGTGACGCCGCCAGCAACAAATATTAATTCTAAATTCTTGTACAGTCTGAAAATGGCACAACTAAAACTTCAGTGTTTGAATGAAAATTTTCGCTACGTGTGTTGTTCAATTAGATATTTTCGGAATGCCATTTTCAACAGATGAAAAACTAACCTCCCGTTCCATCTTTTTAATAAGAATAGCGTTTGACGTGAAACAAACGTCTGTCTCAATTCGAAACACAAAAATTCCTCTGATACGCAAAATTTTCTATGGTGCAAAAAAGGAGCATCTTCGTTACAACTACCAGGTTGCTTAGAAGAATCAATTAATCAATGAAACAATTCCTTTTACAACGGAACATTAAGGCGATTGATTTTCTCAACAGACGAGCTGTCACGTTCAAAGCCATTTGTATTGAAAAGATGGAGTTTTAAAGTGTATCACTGAACTCAATTCGCACCGGTTTAGCATGTAGTACTTTATTAGATACACAAGTTATTATTCTTCATTATTATATAGTATATCACTCCTCCAAATCCAGATTTCACGACGAATTGCACGTCCCTTCTGCCTAATTGCCTGTTGGCCATTTAAGCAAGTCGTGGATTTATGGTATTCTAGCAAGGGCAATATCAGATACATCCTGCATGATCAATTTGTTCGCACGTTAGAGTATATCAAATAACAAAATCAGTACAGCTACTCATAAAATGATAACAAAAAAGAAAAACAAAAAGCAAATAGGCAAGACCAAGTGATAAAAATCTCTTCTTTACATCGGACGCTGTTTCTCACAATCGATGAGGAAATGACTGTTAATTAGAAGAGTGATATTCGAAGAACTTCGATGCGGCATCGCCACAGATCCTACTTTACGTTCTCTTTAAAACAACAACTTCAACAAATAATTAAAGGGGTTTTGTACTCAGCAGTACTTCATTGAATAAATTCGGTGCTTATAAACAAAATAATTAATGAACAAATACGCAAGAAGTTATTGATTTGTTGCTTGTGTGAATAAACTTTAATGATGTTCGCTTCGTGATCCGTGTTTCGAGGCGACGGTTAAAAATGACAGTGTAAATTCGGTAATTATCCAAATTCAATTCAATCAGAACCGGTTGCTACAAACAATCTAGCAGACGAAACATCGGCTGTGGCATATCACCGAATTGATTAAATGTTTTTGTCATATCTCAGAAACAGCAGGTATATGCTGGCAACGACGATCACCTTGATGATGACAATGCTGATGTACAAATAAACGACTTTACATCGTCAATGTAATCGTTGGCTTGAACACGATGGAACGGCAAGAGAACACCCATCATTAAGAGTCAGAGTCTGAGGTTTTGGTCTGGATCAGATATTCTCAGATGTAATCTGTCATAGACAGCTGTCCCATTTTATAGACGTACACACTTCGTACAGGAAACCGCTGAATGCGATCGAACGTTATTCAGTGTCTTCAGTTGTGCTCGTTGAACGTGACAGACGTTAGTTTGAAAAATCAACTGCAGGCGAAGTGGACTACCTCGTACAGGAACTATGGTGAGGGTAAAGATTAAAAAGGAGAAGATATAATCCAAGCCAAGGTTTAAAACTACAACTGCTGAGATCATTCAGTGAAAGTTCCGCAAGATTATTTTCTGAACCTGTTGTTTTCAAACAGCGATGCGAATAATGTACAAGATCCAAAAATTTAATTAATTTTATGGACAACATTATCAGTAAGATGTTCGACAATTTTCGCTCGCACCGTCTTTCCAAAGGAAGCAAAAAACATAAGGCTTAACGAGAATCAGGGGAACCGACAACGATATCTATACTAAAGAAAAAAGAAAGGAATGCTTTTAGTCGTTGCAAGGTTGGTCTCCCTTGCACTTTCATGATGGGAACATTTCTAGCACCACTATTTTCATCAAGTTAAGGGTTAGACGTCAGTCGCCCGTTTCCATGCTACTACCTAAGAGTGCACCGTTTTAAAGTCAGAGTCGATAACAGCTGTATGGAAAGGAAAATGCCTCGTCTCCTGTTTCCTTCCCACAGAATGATACTTATTTTTAGAAAAAAATGAGTCACAGGGATGAGGCCTCGGACCGTTGACCTCTCCGAGAAACGCCGGTCGGAAGCAATGAGTGATAATCTCCATATTCAATGGAATTCCTGGTTAAGACAAAGATTGTCTCCTCCGGAAATGAGCCCTCTACCTCCGAGTTGGAGCCTACCTCTGAAGCACCATTTCACTACGCCACTACCGAGAAAAAACTTCCGCAAAAAAAGCCTGTCAGATATAGACTGAAACGTTTGTAGTGATATATTAGTTGACCGATCAACTGTTTTGCGCTGCATATGATCAAGTTATTTTATGGCGCATTTTAGAAACAGAGGACATATGCAAATGCTGAAGACATGAATGCAGTAAAAATACGTCATATGATATA